GAAAAGTGGTGGTGGAAGACCCTTTGTCCAGGGTGGGACACACACAGACACACACACACCCACACACAGTGTCGCATGCAGGGACGAATTACAGCTTCCTGCACCCAAACCGCATGCAATCGTTGTTTGAACCTGCATAACAGGGTTCTCGACCAGCATTGTTTGGATATGAAATAATAAGTGCATTATGTTATCACATGGGTTCAGACTTGGAGATATGTTCAGACTTAGTTATGTAGCTTGTACAAACTAATTTAAATTCTTTCGTATTTGCTGGAGTCCATCTCCCAATTCGATTAATCCATGGCAATGGATACTGGCAAGTTCGCTCAGCATGAAAGCCAGCACTCAGACAGCAAGCTGAAATGTTCTGTGTCGTTGTTCAACATCTATATAGAAAAGTTCTTGGGTATAGCAGTGCGTATTGCAAAACATCACACACACAAGGCGCGAAAAGCATTGCCAGACTTGGGCTTCAATATCCAAACCCAAACATGAGTTTACACCCCAAATGGCCCAGTGCCGCCAAAGAGCATGGTTTTGCTGAAGCGATGAAGAAAGACCAGAATTCTTTGTGACACCGCCAAAAGACCGTTGGCGTAAAGGTGTAAACCTTGATCCACAAATCTCCACAAGGCCTTGATTCAGGACCCATGTCCGAATGAGGCACCGTGCAGTATCAAGATGTATCAAGTAATTATCCATGAACCTGTCATTCATTGTCATTTATTGGTCTTCATTCATGCAAGAGGTTTGATCCCTTCATTGCGGAATATCTCCAGTTCTGAGGTGCAGATGTGTCCGAGGATTCGCCGTGGAAAAAGAAGCTGCCTCCCTGCCGCATTTACACGTTTGAAGCAGGGGGGAACTGGTAGAGCCGGAGGAGTACTCTGAAATACGAAGCTCGGATGACCAGCGTTCCCTAAAAGAATGTACAGTGCACATCAGCACACAATGATGGAACAGGGCCCACTCAAAGTTCAATTGCTGCATCCACCAAGCTGCATCACTGCATCTCTGCTCACCGGGGTGGTTTGGCTGCAATTCTCAGGGGTTGGAGCGGCTTGCCGTCTTGGACAATCCGTCCACTTCGATATCTCCCAGCCCTCCCCGTTCAGCGCTCAGGCGGAGTGAGGTCATGATGCATCAGAACAGCAATGGACAGCTGCACTTCGCCCTTCGATCTCTGTGGACCGAGCACTCGAGCCGTGACGCGTACAAACCCGCGGTGGGGGAGGTGTCCTTCCGCTCCGGAGGTCAAACTGGTGGGGTCTTCGAAGGTTGATTGAACTTGTTTGAGTGATCTAGAAGGGTCTTCAGGGTGGATGTCCACCCTCCTGGTCTTTTGAACCGCACAGGTCTGGGCCGGCCCACCTTCCGTGGCTCAACCGCACCGTGCCTCAAACCAAGTCTCTCCGATTCTCTCCGTGGATGAGAAAAAGAGTCTCAACCACCCACGTAGCGATATCCAAAAGCTCTGCCCTCAAAGAGTGGGCATATGATACAAAAGAAGGATTGAATGATTTTCGTGGACGAACCGTCACTGCCCGGGTCGCTTGATTTTCACTTCGTGTTTTGGGTAGGAATGCATTCTCCATTCGGTTTTGGACTTGGTGCAGGATTGAAAGCAAGGACGATGAGTCACCACGTTTGCAGAAGAGAGTCAGTTGCACATTGCCTTCAATGACCGACGAGAAGGTTTTGGCAGAGGTAGAGGAGCACGTGTTTTCTTCATGTCTTTTTCTTCCCTTGTTGTAACCAGCTCCTCGTTTTGTTTGGAATCGGACAAAAGCTAGCATAACTGTTTGATTAATGGTGAAGTGCGCATGATCCGCCATTTGGATTGTGCACATACAACGTGCCTTTTACTCGCACGATTTTTGGTGTGGCAATACAAAAAGCATCGAGAAAGATTTCTGTTGGGACGCATAATTTAGACCAACGGCCCAGGACTTGGTTGGGGATTGACAGTGGAGTTCGCTAGAACCGCGCTAAACCACTCTGCACATTTGCCCACTTGACCACCCACTTTCCACCGACTATTACATCTACTGTACTACAGACACACACACACAAGAATGATAGATGCTTCACCTCAATCAACAACAAAGTCATGTTGCAGGTTGCTACCTTTTTAACTCTCTGTACACACGCGTATGTAAGAAGACTGCCACTTTGAGCTTCACACTTGGAAAAAAAGGGGTGCAAAGCACACAAAAACACGACGTTGTACATGAGGACCTGTTCTCCATATGAATGCCACTGCTTGATTCTATGATTTGGAGTCGGGATAATGTTTTGAACAAGTGCAGTTTTTCAGCTACTGACAAACGTCACTTGTGCATGCTTAGAGACATGAACAGCACGGATGTGAACATCCTTTGGGAATCGTTTCTCTTCAAGCTGAAAGAGGTCACAGATAGTCGCCGTGGCGAGAGATGGCACCCATCGCGGGTCCAACCAGCTCGCTTCGTCGTCGTTCCCAAAGTGAAAGCCAAGCGCTTGGACATGCCAGAGCGCTTTCGGCGCCTTTGTCCTCCGTTTGAATGGAATCTGGAATCCAAGCGGCCAGGAGTACTCAGAGAGCCAGTCGCTTCTTTGGATGCTTCAGCATCCGGCAGCCCGATTCCGAATGTGCTGGGTAGCTCTAGGCTTGCTGATGCTGGCCCACGATGTGGTGACGATGCTTGGAGTGGGACGGGTCGAGTGAGTCGAGTGGAACTGTTTTCCACTGGACCGAGAGGGTCATCCGCAAACAGTTACGGATCGTCTAAACAATCCCTGGACCATTTGTAACAGAGCTTTGGAAGCTAAAAACCATTTCAGGTCCAGATTCTTTGGGGTAGGTTGAACGAGTTGATGGCAAGACAAATTGAACGAGTTGATGGTGTGCTCAGTGTCCTCAAGGAATGGTTGAATTCGACAAACTAGCACCTCAAAAGATCTCAAACAACATTCCAATATTTGACCCACTAGAGGGAATCACTACTACACGACTCCGATTGCTTTTTCCCCCAGTGTGGTCACGCTGGGGGTTCTTACGGTAAGGGTTGAGGCCGGGTGTTCAATCTCATCAGTGTGTCTGGCTAAGTCGCTGTTTACGCTACATTCATGCCTCCAGATTTTCGAAGTGGGTTTCGACTGCGCAGGCTTGCAGAAAGTCTCTAGCTGGCGCGGGTGCTTTCCTCCACTGCGCTCTCGTTGTGGTGCCGTGCGCATTTTTGGACTTGGCGGTCACTTGTGGTGGCAGGCACAAGGGACACTTTGTGGTTTTTGTGGTTCAAGGTCAACTTTTCATGGCAGGCGCAGGAGATCGGAACGGGTTTTCTTCGATGTGCAGATTTCGTGGCAGGCGCAGCGCTTTGGACGCGGTGGTGGTCTTCGGTGCGCTCTGATTTCGTGGCGTGAATCATGCTGTTTGGACATGGGGTTCGTTTTGAGACTTCTGGGGACGTATCGAGCGAAAGCGGGGTGTTGGCATCTTGATGTTGTCTTTGGAAGTGCTTTTGCTGCGAGACACCTTCGCAGTGAAGCTTGATGTGCAGATTACCTCGTAGCCTCCGTGGCAGGCACGGCACTTTGTGCACTTCAAAGTGCAGACTTCGTGGCAGGCGCAACATTTTGCACACTTTCAAGTGCTAACTTCGAGGCAGGTGCAGCTTTATGTGAGCACTATGTGAGCCGCTCTTTTATGTGTGATCTCTTTTGTGCTTTTTCATGTCTGTGCTTTCATATATGTGCTCTCATATTCGTGCTCTATGCTCTCACATCTGTGCTGTTGTATGTGTGCTCTTACATGTGTCTCCCATAAGTGAGTTCCATACTCTCTCATATAAGTGCTCTCATGTGTGTTCTTATGTGTCCCTTTTCTTGACTGCTCTTATATGAGCCCTCATGTGTGTGCTCGCAATGTGTGCTCTCATGTGTTTTCGCTGAACTGTACACGGCAGCTTTGCGGTACGTGCCATGACTACGAGTACTATATCCTTGACTTGGAAACTCCAATGAAACAGGAGGCAGCAGATTCATAAGTTATTAGAAAAAATCTTTCAATGCTTCCGGAGAGCCGGAGACACATGCATCCGTGGAAATATTATTAAGTATTGAGCGGCTCCATGAATTTGCGGCTTTCTGTCCCATTTGCGTGTTTCTTACACGCAGTGGCAGCTGTCATCCACTGCAGTACTTGCATTTTTCATGAATTTCACAAACCTAGCCACGCGAGACTGACATTTTTTTCTGTCTACTTCTATTTTTTTTCTCACTGTTTGGAGTCTCTTGGCGGGATGATTTGGTAGCATGCGGTGGCTGGGCGGGGTGCACATGCCGGAATGCCATGAAGGAATCAACCTCAGCTGGCTGTCGACATTTCATATCCAGCAGACCTAAGTTGGTCTCCAAGGCCGAGGGTATTCTTGTAAGGATTTGACATAATTAACACACACTTGGTTTTTTGAAAGCTGCTGTGACTGAGGATTCCCTTGCGCGTCTTTGGCATCGAAGAGTCGATCGCCATGCGTGTCATCTCGTGGATTGTCAGGCTTCCAATATTGCATGACCACACTAAATATACAATAATTCTACATCATAATTGAAGAACTCCTTCTGCATAGATCATTGGATGGAAGGGATCATAGAGATCGGACCCTGCCTGCAATTCTCTTTTGGATGTCTATCCACGACTTTTTTGGTTCTCGATCCGACTCGATCCTTGGAGGGTGTACTGGAGCTTGGACATCTTCTTGTCCTTCTTCGTGGGTTTCTATGATTCGGGCCGCTTGGTGGTGAAGCTGGAACGAACGGTGAAGCACTACCTGACCAGTTGGTTTCTGCTGGACATCACCGTTGTCTGCCTGGATTGGGTCTTCCTCATCCTCGAGAGCGTGGGCGATGGTGTGGATGGGGTGCCACGCTTGTCCAAGACGGTGAGGATTGATTGGGAGGAGTGGGGAATGGCGAGGTTGGATGAGGCACGTGAAGACATGGCCTAATGACAATGATTAGGTTTTGACAGCAGGACGTCAGGCTTTGGTAACATCTCAAGTGCCCATGACGCTTATGACGAAGTGTAAACGATGCGTTTGGACATCAGTCATTTTGATCGTCAAGAACCATGGATTCTTTTGATGTACTTGACCCAACGTCCTTTCGGCAAACAACTTTTCAATCAGTCCTCAATCATCCCAGACTTTGGTGCCCTTCCAGATGGAAGTGGAAGTAAGACTAGTTGGAACAAATAGCATTGGCAGGTCTACTGCTTGTCACGTTTACAACGGAATTGGACACCCAGACCGACACGTAGACTGGCAGGATCTTCCGCCAGCCCCGGCCTGCCCACGGACTCGACGGGCAGGATCTTCCGCCTGGCACGCCTGGCACGGCTGGGACGTTTGCTGAAAGTGCGCAGCCTCACCTCGGCCATCGAGGACCGCTCCGAACACGACCCCAACAGACGTCCAAACACGTCGCACATCGGGGAACGGGGCCAAGAAGGGTTGGACAAGCAATATGGGTGGACAGCTTTGTCGTCGTTGTCGCCGTCGGTCGTTTTTTTCCCTCAATTTCAAGGTTTCTTGTCAATCAGAGTTGGGGAGAACCTCATCCCGGGGATGTTCATGGACTGTCTGAGACGCGTGGCCGTCTCCCTCCAGTCTGGGATAAGAGCTTACAAATAGTTTATGCCTCTCGAGACAGACCCAGATGTTCTTGAAGGAAAGCCCTCGAGTTTGCTCCAATGGGCCCTGTGAAACAGCGCGAGTGGACCCTTTTTGAGACAGCTGATCACCCTGCCAGAAGCGGTGGGAACTTTGGAACTTCCGGAGATAGTTCATGGCACACTTGCCAAACCTGGCTCATCAAACATGCCATGTCCTCTGAGATCGTAACCTTTGATCATCTCAGATTGGAGGAGTATTTCAGCTCGGAGACAGCATCCATCTACTACAGCATGATTAAGATCAGTCTTTGGTTGCCTCAAAGTTGCACATGATCATGAGGCCTCCAAATCTTAGACACGGATCCTGTCGCAACTGTGCCACTGAGGCTTGTCATGAATCATGTGATCGCTTGCATTTGGTTTGGCATGACGAGTGTGGAAGACGAGCAAAATTGGGTTTTGGCAAATCAGCTGGATGGGAGGTCCGGACTCTATCAATATGTGCCTTGGCATCCAGAATTGAGACTTTGGTGATGATGCCTTGGTACCGCGCATGTAGTGAGTGAGTCAGTAAATCAGTGAGACAGTCAGTGAGTAAGCAAGTGAGTAAGTGAGTGAGCAAGCAAATGAGAAGGTCAAGGATTAAGTCAGGGAGTCCGGGAGTAAGTAAGTAAGTAAGTAACCACGGAGTGGGTAGGTAAGAAAAGTATCAAAGCATAATATAAATAAAATAAGTAAATAAGTAAGCAAGCAAGCAAAGCAAAGCAAAGTAAAGTCAATGAAGTAAAATACAGTCAAGTAAGTAACGTGGTAAAGTAAGTAAGTATATGAATTAATTCTCTCCACAGTTTCCTCTACATTTTCATGCCCCCCGGGGGCTCTACAAAGTGATTTTTTTGTACACATCATAGGTGGTACGGGCATGGCACTCCTAAAGATGCCCACTGCTTTTCTACAGGAGAATCCTTGGAGTGACTGCAGCATGTCCAGTGATTTTGTAGTAAACCCAAAAAAAGGTGATTAAACAGTGGCTATTGAGGTATGAGTTTCTGATTTTGCAAAAACTTTAATTTTGTACAGGCGCAGAAGGAGAGTATAAAGGTATGATATATTGAATATACCAAAAAATATGTTTCTATTTTTCGAGAGATCATCTGATTTTGTAGTAGACATATGTTTCTGTAGAGACAGACATACGTGTCCTAAAACAAAAAGGTCTTCCAAATAGCATGGATTGGATTTCTGTAGAAGACCCATGTACATTACAAAATCCAATTCGATCCAATTCCCATAGACTATAAATATACCACAAACATATGAATACAACATCCCTACAAAATCGGGTTCCAGACAATGTAGTATCATGGCCCACGATGCTTCTTGTGTGTGCTGCTAAAAGTTAACCTAGTGATCTTGTTTTTCTACAGCACCAAAAAAGCTTGAAAAACATACCAAACATGTAGCGAATGCATGTGTTGTTCACTGTGTGTGGAAGGCCAGGAATTTAATTTTATAGAGATTTGTTTGTTTTTTTCAATATAGCCTTTGATTCTGTAGAGGGTCCCTGTAGCAGTAGGAGTAGTAGTAGTACTAGTAGTAGTCGTAGTAGTAGGAGCAGCAGCAGCAGCAGGAGTAGTAGTAGTAGTAGCAGCAGCAGCAGGAGTAGTAGTAGTAGCAGTAGTCGTAGTAGTAGTAGTCGTAGTGGTAGTCGTAGTAGTCGTAGTAGTCGTAGTAGTAGTCGTCGTAGTAGTCGTAGTAGTCGTCGTAGTAGTAGTAGTAGGAGGAGCAGTAGGAGTAGGAGTAGGAGTAGGAGTAGGAGTAGGAGTAGGAGTAGTAGTAGTAGTAGTGGTGGTGGTAAGGTGGTAGTAGTAGTAGTAGTAGTAGTGGTGGTGGTAAGGTGGTAGTAGTAGTAGTAGTAGTAGTAGTAGCGGGAATGGTAGTGTGTAGGAAGTTTTAAGTAGAGGTGGTAGACAGTAGACAGAATTAAGTTTTTGTTTGTCATATAGTAGGTATAGCTGGATAGTTGTGGTTTTAGGTGGTTTGCAATATAGTTAAATAGCTTTCTTTTTGCCTAATTGTTTAGTTTATCTTTGGTGTTGAGGGAGCGCATGAGGTATTTAGGCAGCTAGTAGTAATCGCGGTTGTGGTGGTCAGGCGGAATAGCAATTGGCTTGCTGCAGCTGTGTCATTTTGGTTGTCGTCGCCGTTGCTGCTGCTGCTGCTGCTGCTGCTTCATGGAACTCATGTTCTGGTCTAGTTTGCGGGTGACACGCAAGTCGGTTAGTGGCTTCATTGGGAGCCATGAACACCATGACCACCACACTGATTAGAAGACTTGTCTTGCCAGCGGGCCCGGATGAGGCAACATCTCTTCATTGGTCCATTGCCCAGTTGGGTGTGGGTCAAACCGAGATCGAAGCAGTCTCATTGATGGAACGCACGTTCTCCATTTGCGCCGCTGGGCCGCAAACGCCTTTGGAACAAAGAGGGAACCGCATGTTGACTAATCAGCTACTGTATATAATCAACAGAAGCAACCACCACCACCACCACCACCACCACCACCACCACCACCACCACCACCACCACCACCACCACAGCAGAAGCAACAGTGTTATTTTCTCACGCTCTTCAGGTCTGAAGTCAAGCATTGGAGAGATGGAACATTTGCCTCTCGCACTCACACGGGCAAAAGTTCTCCATCAACCCAAAAAGGGTGTTTCGTAGCAGTACCCCCCATTCCCAGTGTGCCTTGTGACCGTTGCAATCTGCACTTTGCTGTCAATTGTGCCTGGTGATGCGTTCTATTTGAGCCCACGTCATTCCTTTTCAGTCCGAGGGTAGTATCAATCTCACATTTTCAGCACCCGTGCGAACCCTTGGCCTGACCATCCCAACATCAACTGGTTTCGACCCAGCATGAAGTCCTCCCTCCAGGGATGAACCTGAGTTACAGTTGTGTTCCACAGGTGATGTTGGGAGCTTTGCTCAGCTTCTCAACGCTCGTGAGCTCCATGACATCATTGATGCAGCGCTTGGATCATCTGAAGACCGACGAGGCCTGGCGGATGGCACTGAGCTTGGCGGATGGACGAGCGAGAGACCATGCAATTGATAAACATGGGGCGGGTGCAAGGAGTCATTTATCTGAGTGCGACGGATGCCTTTCTTTCTTGACATTGATCTGCAGATTTGCTGATTGAGAGTGTGTCAGAAAGACGGCTTGGTGGCCAAGCATGTCACGAAAGCTAGCGAAGCTAGCTGGAGTTACTCTTGCGATAGCAAGGTTTCTTTCGACCGGGTGCAAATCCTAACCCCTGATTTTTCAGGTCGAAGACCCCCCCCCCCCCCCCCCC